CAAAAAATCCTTACACAGTCAAGTTCATGGATGAATCAGGGGTAAAAATAAACAGTGGCCAGTCGCGCTATGGGCATTTCCCCCGAGGGAGAGATGTATTGAGATTAGTAAATACGCAAACAGTGCCAACTATTCCCTTAGTCTTCTTATAGGTGTAAATGGAGTGAAGTACAGTTACGTCATTGCTGGACCTTCAAATAAAATGAATATTGGAGATTTTTTTCGTTGACGCAGCCGAGGCACATGATAATGATGGTCAACCAATATTGCTACCAGGTGATACTATAGTAGTCGACAATGCACCGATTCACAGACACGAGGGAGAACGTCTTTTGTCGAAATGGTTGGGAGATATGGGAATGGAACTTGTATTTTTGCCAGTGTACTCCCTTGAGCTAAACCCTGTTGAAGTATGTTTTACAAATTGAAAACTGTTCTACAGAGAGACCATTACCGTACTATTTTACATGATAGTGTACCTGTGGCGGTATACGATGTACTTTCCACCATAACGCTTATGGATATTTTAGAGTTTTACAGACACACCAATTATCTGATAGTTTAGTGTTGCAGTACTACGTTCATGTTCAGATTTGTGTAATAAATCTATAACCACATAAAACATGCTGTCTTGTCCTTGATTATTTCTATTTGCTATTTCTCATATTTATGCAGAAGTAAAGTGCATGATACCATATTTTCAAAAAACAAAATGGCTGCCAGCCGGCCATCTTGGATCGAATCGCTAAACCACTATGTATACATAAGTCCCACGTAAAGCACTAAGCACGTGCAAAGAATGATTCGATTCGGCCTAGAGGGTTCTGAAATATTACTCCGGACGAACGGAGAACGAATAAATTCCCCGTTTTCGATTTCTAAGCAATGCTGTATTCCTTGATTTATGTTGAAGGTACATGTTATAATAATTGTTTACCAGCAGAATATTAAGTGTTACAAAGAGCAGTCATACATTTTAATTTGAGAACGGCTGATTAACCCCACAAAAGACAGTATGCGTGAAATATAGTGTGAAGTTAATAAGTTACTATAATGGTGCTGCCATTAATAAAAAATATTAGCACCGCAATATTAGCACCATAATGCACCTAAGGCCCGAGGCACTAGTAATTTATGTAACGGAAACAACCTTTTATTTTCTTTCTATATGTTATACATTATTGATAATACAATATTGTATATGCCGGAATGTAATATAATACTATATAATGAGCCAACTAATTATATAAACTTCCCACTGTGTTTATCAATGTATATAGAAATATGTTTAGTTTTTGGACAAAATATTAGTTTTTATTTTGGCAGGGAATATTAATGTTTTGTTTTGTGGTATTAATGATGACATAGCACTCTGACATAGTCCTGCTGTTGATTACTTCTGTTGAAATTGTATAGTGGGTAATAATATACTTGATAATGAAAGGTGACAGTTGGTTTGCTCTCCACTTACTACCACATACGTTGATAAAGAGGTTGTAACAGTCGTGTATACACTGATGAAAACATACATTCGGTCAAAGACCCCCTTCAAATCAGATCAATATTCAATGTTATGTTAATACATTCTTCTCTGAAGTGACGTAGACATAGAACGTGGCACAGCGCGGGAAACAGGTGTGAACAATGTATGCAGACAATAACGACAATTTCACCTTCATCTTTGCTTCTTCACTGTGTTTTTTATTGTTGTCAAAAGTAAGAAAGTTGCCATGGCAAAATTATTTCAACGCCATAACAATTATGTTTGTCTGAACGTCTCCATGAATAAATAATAATTTAAAAAAAAACACTATAACTGAGTTAAATTATTTAGATTTTCTCATCCA